TGAGCTCCAGGGGTAGCCAAATCCAAAGGTTGCCCCAGAGCTGAGGCTGATTCAAGAGATATTTCCCATAAAGAAATATGAGGCATTCGTGGTCGGATTCCTGCAGTGCTCGCTCGGCATTTAGTTTCCATAGTTGTTAGTGGCATAGCCTCAATTCAAAAGCAGGCAGAACTAATTACTCGACTAATATTTGCTTAAGTACGAGGCATTTGGCCCCGCTGACCAGACCACATAAATTCCGTCTTGGCTCTCATTAGAGAGCCGCTGCAGCTGCTCGCACGCACACACACACACATATACAGGGACACATGAACTGATGATAAACGGAGCTTGGAGTATGCCAAGTGAAGGGGCGAGGCGCTTAATAGGCCACACACACATGCAGAACTAACAAATACATGACTAGGCTCAAAGCACGACATGTGTGTGTGGCTCCACTGTACAGTGAGCATTAATACTGATAGATAGTTAGACAATGCAGCAGCAGCAATTAGCGTTGGCATTTTTGTCCAGCTTGGCCAAAAACTAAAGCTGGCTAGACAACTAGACAACTCAAATGAATATTTCAGCAAAACACGGAGCAGCAGCAGCAGGAGAAGAAAAGAAATATTTTGTGCAAATCATTTTGTTGCCAGAGAAAGATAAATATTAATAACTCAGATGGAACTGGTCAGAGCTCAGATAGAGAGAGAGAGAGAGAGAGAGAGAGAGAGAGAGAGAGAAGATAAAAAAAGCAGAGCTGAACAGAAAAAAGGTGAAGGCTAAGCTGATCCCCATCAACGAGCTGCAGTCACAGCAGTTTTCTGTATGCAGCTCAGTTCGCAGTGCAAACAAAAACCGGGTCGATGCTGTCACTGGGCAAACTGAGCCGAGAGCTGAGCTGAGAGTCCCAGCGAGGGCGCAAGAGAGGGGGAGAGAGAGCCAAAGCCTTTTAAATAATAACAGCAGAGTGCGGTAGATATACACACACATATATATATATATATATGTATGTATGTATGTACAGTTGAGTAAGGGCAAGACAAGTGAATAGTCGAATGGCTCTGTTGTTGATGACAATACGGCAATGAATGAAAAGCAATGAAAGGCAAAACAAAGTGAGCGCCAAATAGCCCCGGCGCATAATAAAGTATGGCCAAGGCTAAGCCGAGAGGTGAGCTGGGCGAGAGAAACTGTTTTATATTATGTGAGTGGGTGAGCGGGTGAGCGGGTGAGCGGGGGAGTAGGGCGGCAGAGGTGGGGCTAGCCTTAGGTAGCTGGCTAACTGTATCTGTATGCAGAGCCACACAGTAACCGCCTAAACGGTCCGGCTTCACTGAATATTAAAATTCATACGCCATGTTGTACGGTCAAATCACTTTCAGACTATGGCCAACAACGGCCACGACAACGGCAACGGCAACGGCAACGACAGCTACGACGATTTGAGTTTCTGGCAAACAGCAGCAAGCAACGGCAGCGGCAGCAGGAGTAGCAGCAGCAGGCAGCAGCAGCAGTAGCATATTTTACATAGGGCCGAACGAATACAGCTGCACAGAAACAATTGCACAATTTATGTGGCATTTAGCATTTGCACATCATTCAAGTCCGGCCCAACCCACTCGGCCCTGCTCGGTCACCTAATGCCTGCTGGCAAACTAACATGCCTCGTGCACCTCCCCAGCCCCGGTTGGCCCCAGTGTTGCCATGAAACGAGCCGTTAAGCATTAAAAAAGAAAATACCACTAAGACTGGCATAGACGAGGGCGTGCATGACTAAAACATACCTGGTACAGAGTAATAAACGTTTCTTCTGTGCAAGCTGAGAACGAGGACGGTCGCATTGCTCCCTTTAGCTTTATGTAGCCACTGCGCTTTCCCAGACCCATGCTAGAAGTTGTAGATGCTGCAGATATACGATCTTAAGTCTATTTTAATCGTAGAAATACAACAATTCAAAAGACTGTTACTTAAGGTAACTTTTCATTAGAAATTATCAAATATTCTAATTTGTATCTCAATTAATTTTATCAAAATTATAAACTTATCCTCTTCATATATGAAATATCAGAGAGATGACTCTAGCTCGATCCGCTCAGCTCTTTAAATGCGGATATAGTGCCTGGACTCTACCAACTTGTCTCTCTACTCTTCTTTTAACTCTTACTCCTTCTGTGGAATAGCAAAATAAAGAATTGAATTATCATAAAATCACACGTCTATGATATGATCTATACCCAAATTAAAGAGAAGTTTGCATAGAGCCAACCTATTCATAGAATCTCCTGCATCAGACTCTATCACTACGATAGAGTTTATCCCTTCATTGGGTCCCTTGACCCAATGACGTTTTCACTTCAAAGAAATTACTCCTATCTCCTACCTACATATGAACCATGCCAAGATAAGGAGTCAACCGCTTTAACAAATTAGAGATTAGACTTTATAGAGTCCCTAACTTTATAGAGTCTCTTACCCATTACATCCTTGTGAATACCAAAGATTTCGCAGAGTTTATCACTTCATAGAGTCTTCTGTCCAATAGGTTCATATGAGAAAATTCACATTACAAATCAGGCTTTAAAGTCTTTGAAGTCGTATGTCGATAAGCTAAATATGATCTATGTAATATTGAAGTGAAGATGATATAGACTTCTTTCGATCCCCTTACCCGGCATATGAGCTCTACCAACTGAAGGAAATCACTCCATAGACCCTATCACGTTATAGATTCCCCTGTCTATATATGACCCATGTGCTCTACCAAAACACCCGACTGAAAGCCCTTTCCCAGCGATTCATGATGAGTGTGCAGGTCAGACACTCACTACAATTCATTTTCGAGCCGTTCTCAACACATGGTCGACAGCAAACTAACCTGCAAAAATATTACAAATTCAAAATGCTAAATGTGCATTTAACTTATGTATTTATGTAAATCCCTCGAAATTATTTTACCCAGCAGTCCCCTGTACACACACACACACACACATACACAAAGGCAAGCAACTCCAAGGACCAAGCCCTGCCCGTCACACGGCAGGTTACAAAACAAACTGACGTCATTTAAATATACATATTTTCGAGGCTCTATGTGTTTAGTAATACTTTTTTTGTTGTCCTGCTTCTGTTGCTGTTTCTGTTTCTGTTAGCTGTCCTCGGTCGACAGCTCTGTCAATTGTCAGCATTTCAGATTGATGGCATAAGCCGTCCCTCCGTCCGTTCGTCCGTTCGTCCTGCTGCCAGCTCCTGCGGCCAACTCTGGTCAATTTCCTATGCCAGTTTTTATATGATTTTTGCATTAGTTTGCAATATTTCAGCTTTTGTTACATTTTCAATTCATAACTGTGAAGCCGATTCGATTCTGCATATTTCACACACTCGGCCATTAAATTTGCACAATATGTGAGCCAGACTCCCGCCCTGCCCCAGATACGTGCATATTTAAATAGGCGGCTAGCGTGCTCGACTTCACTTCCATCATCATTTATTTACTGCCGAGCATCAAATAATTTAAGATAATGCAGTTAGACCAAGGTGCCAAATCCGATTTGGCCACACTGTCTTTGGCTTATAGTTGCATGCGAAGAGCATGTAAGACTCTCAAATGGAACTTCAATGCAAACAAACTTGCATAAATGCATGCATGATGTGTGGCACAGGGAGTGAGTGAGAGGGAGAGAATGAGAGAGGGCGAGCAAAGGCAGCTGAAGACTTTAAGCTTAAATTTACCTTTCATAGAGTTGCACTCTAATATGAAACACTGGCCAGCAAAGTTGAGTAGCGACTAGGCAAGGCATATGAAACGGCAGCTGAAAGGGGTCAAAGGGAACTTTCTTAGCCCGCCGCAGCTCTGATTCGAGCCTCATCATGCTGTGCTGTGTGATTAGCTGACCGAATCCTTTAACAAACTGGCGACGCAATGCGGACGTCTGTCCGCCCTGTCCGCTCCGTCTGCCCTGTCTGATCCGTCTCGTCTGCAGCGGGAGATAAAGCCATACAATGACGCGCCATGAAGCGCGTCGTCCGCCATTGTTTATCCATTTTATGCAAATCTTCCGGGCGTCAACAGTTTTTTGCACCGTTATCGCTGGGCCGGCATAATTTGGTGAGTGAATTGAGTTACCTTTGGCAGAATCGAACACAGTTGTTGATGATTCCATTTAATAAGCCGGCGATGTCGCGCACGTGCTTAACGCTTAATCAAATAATTAAAATCTAAAACTATTCAAACTGAGTTTGGGAATTTTTACAGAGTCACTGCTCCAGATGCCCCGGAGCTGACAGCGAATGTCCGCCCGCCTGCTTTCAGTATATTTCGTTGCGATTCAGGGAATTTGCCGATTAGCAGTAAGCTGAAAAAAGTAAGCCGCCCAATCCACCCACAGCCAGTGACATATGCGTGGAAGCAAAACTTTCACTTTTCGACGGGATGTCGTGGGCATAACTGAAACTCAAGACTTTTGAATCGCTCCAGGCCGCACTGACACCCACAACCAGTGGCCGAGGCAGTAACTGTGGCCGAGGCAGTAACTGTGGCTGTGGCTGTGGCAGTGGGTCTGGAAGTAAATCCCATGCCCTGGGCTCTACACGACTTTGTCAGCCAGATTTTAATTCAATTACATCTGTAGCTGCAAGTTGTGTGCAAATATTATCATAGGAAAAATTAAAACGCAGCCCCCTGAACCGTGAACCCAAACGCACCCAAAAAATGAAAAAGGAACGAAATAAAAGAACTGAAGCACCCACCCGACACCCCCAGGCATGATGTGCGTGCGCCGTTATTTGCGCCGCTGCTCTCTGGCAGCTGTTTTCAAAGCAACAACAAATTTGGGCAAAGCAAGAATCGAAGCGGTGTGGGAGTGATCTAGTGGGGTGTGCACGACTAGCAGATACCATAAAGTATAAAGAGAGATGGAGAGATGGGAGAGTGGAGTAAGCTTATGAGAGATGAAGAGAAGATGAAGAAAATGAATAGAGATGACTCAATAGAAAGAAGGGTGAGTGAAGACTGGACAGAGGTGAGATGGGAGCGAGTCGAAAGTAGGTAAGGGAAACAGAATTAAGAGTACAGAGTTGACAGTGTAGAGTTGAAAGTTACGAGTTCAGGGTGGAGAGTTAAGACTAGAGAGTTGAAAATGGAAAGTTTTAGAGAGGAAAGTGTAGAGTTCAGGGTCGAGAGTTATGAGTGGAGTGTTGAGAGTGGAGAATTGAGTACGAAAAGTTGGGAGTGAAGGATCGAGAATGGAGAGTTGAATGTGGAAAGCTTAGAGTGGAGAGTGGTGAGAAAGAAAGAGAAGGAGAACAGATTAAATATAGGGAATAAAATCAGAAGAGAGAAGACAAGGGGAACTAGTCTAAAGCGACTCATCATATACTCCTGATCTGCCACGCCTCTTCCCCCATACTGCATATGTACATTTTGTAGAACAGTACAATATACCCTTCTCATATATGTATATTCAATTCTATGAATAGAAAACCCACTCAGAACTTTCCACAACGTACTCTCAAGCCTTATTGCGGCTCAATTTAATTTACAATACGCTTTCGTTGCCCTGGAATAGAGGTGAAGTAATGCCGGAGCATGCTTAAGCTTCTTTTGTGTAAGTATACAATTTATATGCACTGCAAAGGTTCGCTACAATCAATAAATAATAGAGAACTACCGACTAGCCAGGCGCATGTGAGAAACCTCTGTTTTGGCAGCTTCGCAATATCTGGTCTAGTGACACCAATTAGCATTTGAAAGGTAAAACCGGCAGCAGGAATAACAAGAATCGGAATAATTAAAATTAAGACAAAGGCGCTGAGCAAATCCGCCGCAAGTTGCCTGACGCGTGGGATAAGCAATAAAAGCGTTAGGAAAACTTCGCGCAGGAAATCGCTATGGGGCGAAAATCTGTAGCGGAAATCGAAATTTGTTAAATGGAGCAATCGATGAATTGCGTTGGCTCTGACAGCCATGCCACGCCACGCCCACTGCCCATCGCACCCCGCCCGCCGCCTCTTCGCAGTTCGGTTTTACATTTTATCGCTTGTACGTTTGCACCATTTCAATTACAAACAATAACAATAAAATGTGGACGATGAAGAGCTCTGGGACGCAAACGGCTAAGTCGTTAAAGTTCAAGAAAGCGCGTTGCAGGAAAAAAATACGAATGAGCAGGCATCGCTCGGACAGCATCGACTGCAGCATGCTCGTTCGCCTAAAGAAGATGAAATGAATTTGCATGTAAACATATGCAGAGGCGGTTCCGGGTCAGGCACTACCCAACAAGGAGAGAAACATGAGTCATATACGAGAAGGGTCACTACCTAATGAGGAAACTACCAACAAATTTTGAAATTCTTTTCATCATTTCTCCTTTTAGCTCAGCTGGGACTATCTGTATAAGAATCCAGTAATACTAACTCTCAAAACCCTGAGATATACAGAGATTTCCAGTTTACCATGCCTTCAATTCGTGTTTAGATCTCTAGAACCTAGCAGCCTCACATGAGTGTGTCTAAAATTGGAATGTAACCCATTCGATCCTTGGACTCCTATAGTTCAAAAAGATGTAGTTGATATCTTGACATTATCTGACCTACAAAGGTTTATACATTTGAAGTTTTTCAAATGGATTCCAATCCAATGTAATTTCCAGTCTCTAAACCAGGTCAGGTCTCCCAGACCTATATTTACAGACAACAAATATACCCTCTCAAACTCGCTTGAGCGCGCATGGAGAGCAAAAAGAGTAGTGCAAGGGAATTAGTTCACACGGAAGTGGCTGTCAGTTGACCCCAGTGCCGAGGCGCCCACGCTGATATCCGGGTGCACGGCTCATGTCCAGGCGGGCTATTGGCGTACGTGCGGAAGGCAGTTAAAGGTGCGCAAAGGTAGATAAATATTATTGCAAAGCAAATTTAAATAAACATTTTTTCATTATCCGCTCTGGAAAACAGCTTAAAGGGAATGCAAAGGGAAGCGAAATTGCTTACATTATTTTTTGGCCATCAACTTTCAAAGTGCCTAAGCAAAGTTTGGAGCGATTTGGCAGGACGCATCTCATATTGATGGCCCTCGTGGCTGAGAGGTCTGTAAATCTTTGCTGTCTTCCAACTATTCATAGAACATGTCAACATTTAATATCTGCCGACTCGAGCGAAGTTCTGCCCACTAAACATAATTAATGGACCAAGTTTGTGGGAGAGGGAATCTACTTTGCATTAGGCTGTCACAATATCCCGACCTAAGAGCTCTCTGTCCATTGTTGCAAGGACATCATGCAAAAAGTATATAACGAAATCTTATACCTCAAAACTTATTTCATTAGCAATTTCCATCAACTCCCAGGCCAAGTCAAACTTGTATCGAGCCACTCACCACTCACCAGTGGCCACTGGCCACTGGCCACTCGCCACTTACCACTCGCCACTTACCACTCGGACAATTGTATTTCTTTTGCTCGATGCTCTGGTCAATTTAATTCAACGCTAATAAAACTTCAATAAAATGAAATTTGTACGAATTGCCGTTGTTCCCTGGCAAGTCCTTGGCAATCACCGCCGACGATTATCACTGACAGTCGCGCCGTATACGTGACAAACGCTGGCCGAGTGTTGATCTGGAATCGCCGCAGCGCAGTGCGAGATTACAAGCAAACCAGAGTCTGTCTCCACACTAACAGCATAGCCAACAAAGAAATAAATATACTAAGAGCCAGCACACAAGCAAAACTTAGACATAAGACCGAGAAAAATAAATAAAAAATACCAGTGGCATTGAGCCTGTGGACTGTGGACGACTAGAAGATACCGCAAGACGTCCGCTAAGCGTGGCTTATTTTGAATTCCTAATGGGAGAAGCAATGCTCATGACTCTTAACTTATAAACTCTGAGATTGGACACATACAGAGGCGGACAAGGCAAGACGGATAAGCGGACAGACGGACAAACAGGTGTAAGCTAGTAATAGCCTTGGTATAGAGGGATGGACAAATTTAAAGTTATATATTCGGATGAAGGTTCATTGAAAGAATTGGGAGGAACGACGGACGGAGGAACAGACGAATATTAACAAAGACAGGCTCAATCTAGGCCAAATCGATTTCATACTTATTATTAATCCAATCGTTTCTTACACTCACACCAATACAACCAAGATACCCGCTTGCCCATTGGCAAGGCGTGCGGGGCATCAAGGAAAAGAGCAGCGAAAAACTTTATGGTCAACATTTTTAGTTGCGGTCGAATGAATAGCAAAGTGTATTTCGAGTACAACGGCAGCACGCACATTAATACAGCTACTATTGACGTGGACACATACGTAGAAACACATAAACAAATGCATGTGTATTAGTGTGTATATAAAACAGATTTAGGGGCCGCCTGGCAGAGGCCAGCGTTGCCTTGGCAACATTTTTATTTCTTTTATCATCGCAAGTGGCCAGCTGAAAACCACTGATGGCCCCTTGTTCATTGTTGACTCTCGTAGTCGGACTCGGACTCGGACTCGGACTCGCACTCGGACTCGCCTCACTTTTATTATTATTGATGACAGTTTTGAGCGGACAATAAAAAGGAAAAGCGCACAATATGTATGACTAGCACAGGCCTAGCCCGGGCGAGAGCAGCACAAATCAAAATACGCAAACAAACAGAAGATTAAATACACTTGTGCTCGTAAGCCGCTGAATTGCAAAATAATTCCATGTTTATGCATCAGCATGGACAAGGAGTTATTTGTAGAGGAAATCAATTTTTAATAGAATATGCCAAAGGCAGCTGATTGCGGAATGCTGAATGCGAAGTGCTGAATGGCTGGGCATAGAGGATATTGAGTAGATTTAGCTCAAGTCTAAGGAAGGGGAGAGAGAGAAAGAAGGCAAGTTAAAGCTAGACTCTAGGTGAGTTCATGGCATCGGGAAACTTTATCAATATCAAAAGAAATTCATAATAAAAATCAGACATCAACTACTGCGAACTGCCACTAGCTGGCACTTAGCGCTGGCATATAATCAAATAATGTGAGCAAGAAAGAAATCCAGACTTGCGAAAAGAGAATTTCATTAAGTTGGCAGCAGCCGTCACATGAAACTGCGGCAAGTAAAATATAAAAGTTTTGCTCCTTCAAAAAATGTATTTATTTCCATAAAGCGATGTGTGGGAGCCAGGCCACAAAAAATGGAAAGGAAACAGAGCCACAAGGCAAGATAAATTACCGTGAAGCATACACACATAGTATATATATATATATATATATAGGATAGTATGCTCTATACAGACATCTGTTGTCCTATTTGCCGTGAGCAGCAGATACTTTTGTAACGTTTTCGCTCTACAAAGTTAAGCCAACTCTGATGCAGCACATCAAAAAAGGGGCGCAAAAAGTGAGAGAGAGAGAGGGGGGGAGAGAGAGACGAAAAAAATGAAGAAAATTTTGATAATTTTTGCTCCAGTTGGATACAAATGTCTGACAGGCACGTGCTCCATCAATTTTATACTTTATATTCTCCGCCTACTTAGTTTGCCCACACACACACACACGCACGCACACACACACGCCTCCACATATTGAGCTGACACACCCAATTGATTAACCTAAGCCACACGCCGTAGCAAAACTTTGCTGAGCTCAACCATGCAGCCCCAGCATGCCTCAGCCCCCGCCCCAGCCCCCAGCCCGCAGCCCGAGTCCCAAGCTCAGGCAGAGGCACTGGCAAGTTAATTTTGAATCGTTTATCAAATGATGCAGAGCTCAAAAAACTTGAAATGCATGTGCTGCCAGCTGCCAGACTCTTGGCTATGCAACTCTAGGCTGCGCGCCGCTCAGCTATCTGATAGCACATGGCATAATGCAAAATAGCAAACAGGTAAAAGCCAGAAAGTAAGACGTTGCCATGGGGTGTCATGGACTGCATGATGCTCGTTCGCGGCTTGCTACTGCTCCATGAAGAATCGATTTGATTTATGAGCTGTTTTCTTACGAAAGTCAAATAGAACTAAAGTAAAAACTTAACTGATTTTAACTAATACTTAAAGAG